TGCATATTTTTTTCGGGGGTTCGTACACGGGATCTAGGCGCGTGTGAGCGAAAATTTTAAACGTGGAGGATGATATACGGAGTAGGAACATATACTGAAAATTTTTTCTTGGTTGCTGAGATGAAAGTGAGTGACAAAATGCAATCGCTTTCGAGCACACATACACAGACCACTTCTCGATAATGTGCATTTCTGCTGGAACTGCTATAGCATTTGAAACTGGAAGTTGAACATTTTGCTTATTTTGCTAGTTTTCATTGAAATGCATTTCAATTATTTATCTCTTAAAATTTTAACGGCGTTTGCTTTGAATACAGTCACCCGCTGTCAAACGGCTTATCACTTATACATTGCAGGAAATTCTAGTGTGTCACCAGTTCTGTAAAATTAGTGTGGAACGCTGAACACCACTTTTATTACGGAGAATTCAGCGACGAATTCAGTGGGTTATAGAATGTGTAAATGTTGATGTCAACAGGTGAACATAAGCAATGCAATTTGAGTCTAGCATGATGAATGTTATTAAGACAATATAACATGCAACAGGAAGAAAAGCCAATGTTTCATGATATTTGCGCAGCGTAAAGCCCTCAGTGAGGCATAAGGATTCACCCGAAACACATACAGTTTTGTGAATGCAGTAAGATACTATTGATAAACTGTACCGACAGTGAGGAACGCAGCGATAAATTAACAAATTTTAAAACAAGACGATGAATCCCAAAATAAAAACTTTGATTAAAGATATCTTTCAACAAAATTCCCAAAAAAAAATGTCAGCTGCTTCATAAAAAAAGAATTCTTCAGTAGCAGTTGTCGAACTCTTAACCCAGCAATAATGCTGCTTGTGTTCGAAGAACAGTTGACAGTTTTGTCGCCCATTGGGAGTTCAGTCGCAGTGCAGAGACATAAAGTGAAGCCAGAAAAGGAACGAATGGGCAAAAAGAATGCAGAAGGATGTGATATTCATAGTGATCACTAATATTTGAATGAAAAAGCTACTCGAATCAGCAGTTACTATCTAATTAGAGATGGCAAGTGCACGCCATCTAGTCATGTAAAATACTCTTGATCGCAAGACAGTGGTACCCACACCGTCCGTATTTAATAACGACTCGAAGCAAGTGAAGAATCTTTTTCACATTCATCGGATAGTGGACTTTGCGTTAGCAGTGGATTCACTTCCTGATTTACGCCGTTCGATTCAGAAATTTCTCGCTCTTCTAAAATTGACAGTGAACGAATAACGGCCGGTGAACAGTTTGGTTTCATTGCAATGACAGAACGTCTCGCTGAATTCTCGTTTAGACCAATGGCAGATACTGATATCAGTACTGATCCTACAATGCTTTTTTTGGTGTCCAAAAATTTCTGGGCATTTGATGTATAAATTTAGAATTGAAAAAGGAAGAAACTGCTATCCAATAACTGAATTATGCACTGGCGCGACTAAAATCTTTTCTGAGAAAGGAAA